CTGCATATATCTTTTTATCATCATTTCTGTTAATAATATTTGCCCCAAAGTTTACTTTGCCTGGTATTACCAATAGCTACTTCAGTGTTATGGTTATTTGCATGTATATCTTTTTCCATGCTCTCAACATGCCAGTCTACAGTCGTTTCGACATTGCTGGTGTGTTTTTCTCTTTTTACTTTTTTATCCGAGAGGAAAGGCACAAATCATAACTATGTGGCTCCATAAAATGTTTACAAACTGCACACACCCGTGTAACCAGCTGAGATCAAAACACAATGTTTTAGGGAGGCTGAATAGCTCCCCAAATGGATAGGTAAGAGTGCAAGCTTTGAACAACAGGGCTACCGGTTCAATTCCCACATGGGCCAGTAAGCTGCGCCAGTAAAACTGCACCCTCTACAGCTAAGATTGTGAACAACAGCTCAATCTTAAGCTGGGCTGCCATGAGTGGCTGGTGGCTGGCATGAGCTGCCGTGGGCTACCGTGAGCCGCAGCAGGTGACAGGCATAAGTGGCCAGCAGTCGGCGTGAGTGGCCAGCAGCTGGTGAGAGTTGCCATGAGTGGCCCTCTGACGACCAGCGACCAACTGCCTCAGCTGGGTAGAGTGCAATGGTCATAACACCAACATGGGCCAGTGAGCGGCGTCCTCCACAACTAGACTGAGAACAACAGCTCGGAGGGGGACTGGAGGGGAAGAAAATAACAAAACACAACATTGCCAGATGCCCCCTGGTGTCCCATCCTGGTTCTCCTCGCCCCACCAAGGAAAACCAGTGCCTGACTTCTAAGATTCAAACTTGAAGATTCTGAAAAACTGAGTTCCTGATATTTATAAATCAGGAAGTCTGCATTTCTGCCATCCTTTGAGAAACTAGATCTGGCGATCCTGGATGTGTGTGGTCCTTTGAGGCACCAGCCTGCTGAAGCAGGAGCAGCAGTCCTTTGGGGAGCCGTCACCTCTCCAGACCCACAAAGCCCACTCCTTCATTCTGTCACTTGCCAGGCCCACTTATCTGTCTTTATATTTAAAGTATGTTTTGTCTAGAAAGTAAATAATTGGACCTTGTTTTATTATTCAGTTCAACAATCTCTGCCTTTCATTGAAGTGTTTAGGTCATTTCTATGCAATGGTCCATCTAATTAGATTTAAGTCTACCATTTTGCTGTTTTTCTTTGTCCTATTTGTTCTTTGTTCCTTTTTTCCTCTTTTCCTGTCTTCTTTTGCAGTAACTTTTTTTCCATTTTATCTCCATATATTCTCTTATTAGTTATATGTGAATATTTTTGAGTATTTACTCTAGGCTTTATAATAGCCATCTATACTACATAACACTCCACCTTTAAATAATCTGTTTCTATTCAAGTATAATGTGAACCTCTCAACAATATATGTCTATTTTCCTTAACCTTGACCTGCTGTTTTCATACATTCCACTTTCACATGTTATAATCCTCATAATATGCTATTATTTATGCTTAAATAGTCAATTATAACCTCTGGTTAACAAGGATGTCTTCTTTTACCAATGCCACTCAACATAGTATTGGAAGTTCCAGCCAGAATATTTAGACACAAGAAATGCAAGACATACAAATTGGAGAGGAAGGAGTAAAATTATCTCTGTTCACAAATGATGTAATCTTATATGTAGAAAACCCTAAAGACTCCACACTCCAAAAACAACTGTTAGAGCTAATAAACAAAATTCAGCAAAGTTGCAATATACAAAATCAACAAATAAAAAATACTTGTATTTCTATACAGTAAGAATGAACAATCTGAAAAGAAAGTTAACACCTCAACTTACAATAATATTAAAAATCATAAAATACTTAGGAATAGATTTAACCAAGGATGTGAAAGACTTGTACACTGAAAACTATAAAACATTGCTAACGGAAATTAAAGAGAACATAAATAAATGCAAACTCGTCCCCTGTTCATGGATTGGAGGACTCTATTGTTAAGATGTCAACAGTACCCAAATTATGTAGAGACTCAATGCAAACCCTAGAAAATCTCCAATGGCATTTTCAGAAATCAGAAAAAAAAAATCCCCAAAATTCATGTGGAATCTCAAAGTTCCCCAAATAGCCAAAATAATCTTGGGGGACTCACACTTCCTGCTTTCAAAACTTGCTACAAAGCTGCAATAATCAAAACTGTGGGAGTAGCATAAAGACAGACCTATAGACAAATAGAATAGAACAGAGAGCCCAGAAATAAACCCTCTCACTTATGGTCAAATGACTTTTGATAAATGTGCCAACACCATTCAATGGGTAACTAGTCTTTTCAACAAACAGTGCTGAGAAAACCAGATAATTACATACAAAACTAGATACCCAACTTTCAGTGAAGTTGGGATCTTACCTTACACCACATACAAAAGTTAACTCAACCTGGATCAAAGGCCTACGTGTAAGAGCTAAAACTATAAAACTGTTAGAAGAAAACAGAGGGGAAAGGCCTCATGACATTGGATTTTGCAATGATTTGAGGGGTTTGGCATCAAAAGCTGGGCAACAACAAGAAAGATAAATTGGACTTGATCAAAATTAAAAACCTTTTTGCATCAACAGATACCATCAAGAGAGTGAAAAGAAGTTTCACTGAATGGGAGAAAATGTTTGAAAATCCAAATCTGATAAGGGGTTAAAATTAATATGAATCTAATTGAGCTTCTAGTCCTAATTTCTAATGTACAGAAAGATGAGGGGATAGAGGAGCACGTTAAGCACTAATATGACTGAAAATAGAGACAGATTCAGAATGAGACCTTCTGAGAGATAATTGGCCTGGTGGGGGTATTGTGCAGGATCAAAAGAGACTAAAGAGGCAACAAAAGACAATGCATAAAGCTTGAGTGAATCTTGGATTGTGGCTGGGGGGTGAGAAGAGAGCTTTAAAAGACATTCTTAAGATAATTGGGAAAATATGAGTCTATATATACAGTGTGACAATAGTATTGTGGTTATTCAGGAAAATATATTTATGCTTAAGAAATACACACTGAAATAGTTAAAGTCTTATGAATTTTGAAACTTACTTTGGAATAGTTCTGCCAAGAGGAAAAACAGAAAGAGAGATAGAAAATATGACAACAATGTCAACAACTGTCAAATTTCAGTGCAAGGTACAGAGTGATCATTGTACTATTTCCTCCTCTTTTCTATAGATTTGAAAATTTTCAAAATAAAAAGTTTAGGGTAAAAAAGCTGTGGGCCACTAAATTATATAACTTAAAGTGGTTAAAGTGGCGACATTTATATTATGGGACTTTTATCTCAAAAAAGGAAAAAAGAACAAAGAACTGTAGGTATCTGACACTAGGGAGCTATTAACAGAATTGCTGACACTGCTCCGTTCTCATAAACCATGATGTGAACAGTGTCCCCTGGTATTACGTAATGCCATGACACTGGGCACAGTGATGTTTTCATGTTGAGACAGAGTTAGAAGGAAACACAGAATCTTTTTGCAGAACTGGGGAAAAAAATAGGATCAGAAATTTTACAGTAAAATTACTTTTATATAATTTAATAGCTATTGTTCATTTTAGATTGCATAGGAGGGAGCAAGACATGATCATTTGGCCAAAAATCAAGCAGCGCCTCAATAGGTTAAGAATATCTATCAAAAGCAAACCAAACTGGACACACACCTGGGTTGATGGACGGAGGAGGTGGAGATGGGAGAGGCTGGCCTTCCTTAATGGCTAGTGTACACTGCTTTGCTGATCGAATTGCATTAATGAAGTCTTCATGTTGTTTTCTCCAGTTAGCTTTCTTCACAGGTTGAGGCTATAAAAAAATAAAACCAACATACACTAACCTAGACTACATATCTCTCCAGTACACATTTTTTTTTTTTTAAGCTGAAGCTTGAATTTACAGGAAATAGGACTGTGACATTTGGAGAGAAAAGAGAATTTGTTTTTCAAAAGTACTAAAAGAGGTTTGGAAAATACAATAATAAAAGTCACAAGTCACAGTAGTGAAGGAAAACACAAAATAACCAGATAAACAAAGCAACTACAAAACTTTAAAGGAAGACTTAAATGTAAGATTAAAAGTGACTTTCTTCCAAGTTAATTGCTAGATTTAATGCTACTCTAATGAAAATATAAACAAGATTCTTTTTTGCCACATCTGGAAAGTATCTGAAATACATTTGGAAATGGAAGTGAGCATGATTAAAAAGAAAACAGTAAAGGTGGATTATACTTACATGACATTACACTGCACTATCAAGCAAAAATGAAACCAGAGAGCCAGAAAGAGGCTTTAATGTACTTAGGGGTGTAATCAAGAACAATAAGGAAGATGTGGATAATACCTTGGACTGAGGAGCCTTTCTCACAGTGGGAATGTCAGTGCCTTGTAATCTTTGCTTTAAGGAATTGAAAGGTTTACGCTTTTTGTTGAAGAGTTTTCTACATATTGGTCCATGCCGTTCCTAGAAGAGAAAGAGTAGGGGGTTAAATTTTTTTTAAAATGGACAATCACAAAATTTTGGAATGCCACAGTGTACTCAGGCAGCCCCCACTCCAGTGACTGGGTTGCACCTTCAGAGCCAAGTTCATTCTCTAACTCTCAAATCACAGCAGAGCAAATCCATCTGGCTCTCCTCACCCATGTTACACATAACTAGATATGGTGTTTGGTCAAGGTCAATAAAAGGCCTCTACAGCTAAAGAGACCTACTTCAAACTTGCTTTTACATATTTAACCCCACCACTTGGGCTGGATGGAAGGTTTTAAGCATTAAATAATGTTGAAAATACACACTTTATAGTTTAAATTGAAATAAATATTTCTGATATTGAGCTATTTTCAGGAACTCGCTGAAATGGATGGAGTTTTGCTGGTCACGTCTATTCTGTTTCTGGCCTTCACTGTTTCTAAATTCCAAGAGCAAGTCATCCAGTAATATAACAGGAAATTCGAATCCCAACACACTTAATATTCAGTTTTACCCTCCTTTTGAAATAGCCCTTCGTGTACAGCAAGGGGTAACAGCTTCCTACCAGTGGAGGCTTCTCAGAAAAACTGTTCTTACCATTCAGCATCTCAACATTGAGCGCAACTGGGCCCCTTTTCTACATACAGCCAATTAAACCACTTAACTCCTGAGCAGGAGTGGAGGGATTTCAAAGAAATATTTGAGAACATCTGCAAAAAACAACTAGGACAACCATACAAATAAATGAAGAACACAGCAAGTCCATTTAAGCTATGAAGACATTTTCCTTTAATGTACCCAAACATTTCATCATCATGAAGTCATTTATTTCAGAGCAAATCTACGCTTATCATCTTAAATTTAAAAATACTACAGTATCTGCAAGACGATCAGCAGGGAAAACACACTTTACTCCAGCCAGTAGTCCTTTAAGTCCTCAGTTTCTGGTACAAAAACCAGGGAACCAACACATAGAGCTCTGCCTGTGTCCCAACTTTGCAAAGTCTGTTACTGCAATACTGTGGGATTAGAACAC